AATTATTATTTTTAGTATCTTGATATCATTTTAATACATTAATATTAAAAATATTTTTTAATAAAAAAATTAATTTAATAAATTTTTAAAATAAAAAAATATTTTAAAAAATAATTATAACTACACCAACCAACACACTCGAACAAACCTTCCAATTAGTTCATAAGATGTCATTGGTCATATTCGGTGCTAGCCGTAACAAAATTTGAGGTGTCAAAAGTTCAAATCATTCCCATTCACGTAAATAACATCCATGTTAATAGAAGTGACATGTGCTCAATTTAGAAACAATCCGAAAAAAAAGTTTTTATTTTTTTATTTTTTTCCCTATTCTAACCTTTAAAAGTTCTTAGCTATTAGCCTCACACACCTTGATGTATGTTTTTGAAGAGTCTTTTAGTATTACGACAGTAGTTATTTTCTAAATATTTTTTTTATATAAAAGTATATTAAAATAATTTTTTTATATTTTTTAAAATTTATTTTTAATACTAGTATATTAAAACAATCTAAAAATACTAAACAAATATTATTTTAAAATAAAAAATAAAAAAATTATTTTTTAAAATATTTTTAAAATACAAAAACAAATAAATTCTAAATCACAAAGAAAATAACAACACCATGTACAATGTGAATATGCACAACATTTCACATAATTAGATATCTCATTTCTTGAACCATTATTATTTCTTACCAATTCATCACTGCTGATCACCAGCTTCTCTATCAACGGAAGGCTAAATACTACAACAGATGACCAGTACCAATATTTCTATCAATTAATTATCATCCTATTCTTCATATCCCAAGATAAGTTAAGTTAATAATAACAAGATTTATCAATATTTTAGGTCACCATATAAACATAATAAATCATGATTTTCTTAAACTCAACATTTCTCTACATTTTACATTTTCTTTTAATTTCTCATACACCTATTGATTTAAATATTGAAAAAACCTTTATTTCATGAAGAACTTAAAAAAAAAAACAATCGAGTACATAACCAAATCCAAATATTAGACTTGTTACAAAGTTCACACATCTTAACCTAGGTTGGTAGGCATGAGAAAACTAATTTTTTTATGAAATTTTTCCGTGATTTGATTCTCAACCATATTTGTATTTCAAACAACTTTGTGTAACAAGCTACATGAATAGTAAGGTTGATTATAAACATTTGCTACTTAGAGAACGCATGGAAATGTTGGAAAGGGATTTGGGGTCAAAAAAGATATAAACGGTGTATATTCAATTAAGTTATATGTGATATTAACTTTGTTTATATAAATATATTTAATTTATTAATAAAAATTTATTTATGTTTAATATTTATCAAATATTTAATTAATAAATCAAATATTTTATTAATGAATCTAGAATAAAGATAAAGTTCTTAAAACAAAAAAAAAATTCTTAAGACAAAAAAACTTTACAAAGAAAATATAATGTTATAATTTTGGGATTCATGTTGCATCAAAATATTATTTATAAATATTTTTAATCAAAACTTTATTACGATCGTATATTAATTAGAACAATTAAGATTAATATATATTATATATATTTTTTTAATGAAATAAATTAAGCTGTTAAAACATATTAGTCATGGACCCACACTATATCACATGCCTAATTTTCTTCTTTCTTTTTTCCATATAAATGATGTTCGTGTGCTACAAACACCTTTTAAAGAAAAGAGAAAAATCCATGACTCGAGTCATATAACCAACTAGGTCAAATAAGTTTTTATTTTATTTTAATCATAATAACTTATAAAAAAAATATTTTTCTCAAATGGGACAAATAATATAGCTTAATTCTCAGCCTATTAAATATAGAATGATGAGATTAGATAGAAATAAAAGACCTAAAACAATAGCCCAAAATAACTCAAGTTAGTATGACAAAATTGTAATTTCGGTAATTAAAAGGAAAAAAAAATCTATTTTTTTTTTAAGAAACCAATGTCGGCCTGTATTAACATTTCAAACTTGTTACCAAGGTCATTAAGCTGGAAGTACACTATCTGAAAAAATTATGAAACTTAATTCTTAATTAATAAAATATTGAAAGATGAAATTGATTTTTTTTTGTTAATTATACAAAAGGATTAAAAAATAGTAATTAAAAGAATGAAGATCAAAATTGAAATATAAAATAAATTTTATCTTTAGTTAAATGGTGAAATTAAAAAAAAAATTAATGTAAGGACCTAAACAATTCTAAAGAATGAGAATCAAAGTTGAAGTAAGAAATAAAAACTAAGTTTTTATTTAAAGAAGAAATTGAAAAAAAATAAAAAACAAATTCAAAACAATAAGGACCGAATTAGAAAAACTAATATATGACAAACTTAGATTGAATGATGAAATTGAAGGAAAAAAACTTATACAAAGAGTCAAGAACAAAAAAAAAAAGGATTCAATTTGAAATACCAGCAACTCATCTCTCTCATCTAATCATAAATGACTATAGAACTACCCTACTAGTCACACACCATAATAAAACAATCCTTTAACCTCCTTTCATTACAATATAAAGTACTCATTTTTGCCTAAAATAAGTATTCTTAGTATAATTAGATTGACTTTTTGGTGTATTTAGATTGACTCTAGGACATTTATTTTTGATTTTTAATAGATATATTTTCATGCCAATAATTGTCTTCTCAAACTATTTCATATTCAAAGCCATCTTTTTCCAACAAATAACAAGTAAGACATAATAATTTATGACTCATATTTTTAAGAAAATACTTTACTTAACTATAAAAAATATTTAAGTGATTAAGTATACAAATACATTTAGTTACTAGGTAAGCAGGACAAGTCCTAAACACATGATTTTATAAACAAAACTCATTTGACTCCATTACTCTCATGTTCCACATACAACATTGTTATCCATACCACACATTCTTTCTTTACATATATATTTTATTATTTTTTATATTTATTAACTTAAACATTAGAGGGTTTTTTATTATAACAAAGGACTTGTTTTATAAGTTAGCCATTAACTTATAACACAATCATAAAAAGCTCAAATCCAGTATAAAGTTTTTACAACTTTAACGATAGCATCATCTATGAGAAATTAAACAAAAAGCTAATTTATTCTTATCAATCACAAAAAGTTATTTACATGGTAAATGATTTGGAAATTATTGGATGTGAGAGGTGACTTATCTCTCCTCCATAAGAACTCCAACTCCCCTATATATCCGCCAACTCTCTCATCAAGTACCAGTGTTCAATAATATTGTTTTATTTATATAAAAATAGCTTCGCACTTTTCTATTTTATCAATAAAAAAAAAATACAACATGTAACTTTATTACATGCACCAAGTGCATAGAGATAGCTCTATTACATGTACTAAATGCTTTATAAAAAGTCATTACCATTCCTCAATAAGTCTTTCTGATATAAGTGTTTACCACCATCAATTTTCTTCAAAGTCTTGCTTGTAAGCCCCCCCATCGAAAAAGATTTGAACATGAGATTTTATGAACTTCTAAGAATGAACATCATTTCTACCAGGTAAGAGATTCTTTATTGTTTCATTTAAGGTTATACATTAATCTTTTTAAAGATTTTGTCTTTACAAATATCAACTTGGATAATTATGATGACTTTACTAATCTCATAACATATATAAACACTAGAAGCATTATGGATGTTATAATGTAAAACAATAATGATATGTATAAAATTTTCTTATAACGTAGATGTGATATTATAGCTTTGAGCTAAGTATCATCTTTAACTTTTGTAATCTTTTCATTAAACTTATCTCTCATTGAAGTATGAACATAGCAACTAAAAAAAACACGATTCAACTTCTAAAAAAAATATAAAAATATTTTTTAATGTCTCTAATGAGAAATTTTTATAATAAATTTTTATGTCTTCATTGAATTATCCATGTATCTAAACTTATCTTCTAAAAAAAGTAGGAATCTTTTTCCATTTCTTCATAATCATTTTTCTCTAAGTTTTTATATCCATTTACTTGCAAAAAGATCAATGATTCTTTTCTAGGTTTTTGTAACCGCTCACGTGAGCAATTTAGTAGAAGGCAACGATAACTTTCAAAGACACCGTGCTATAAAGGAAAGTGAAAAATCAGAGAACTATATTTATCCTGTTAGAAAAGGAAATATGTCGACAAGCCAGTAAAACAATATCCACGTGTCTGCTATTTTTTCAAGTTTAAATAATCTCTTATAGAACTTATAGATCCATATATATTCATATACAATAAGAACCGAAAGGAATTTCTTTTTCTACCAAATATTTTTTTTTTTATGATGACGAATTTGGACCATACTCTTTAGGTATGGTTTAGATTTACCTTAGATAGATGCCATTTATCACATGAATTTCTGCTATATTTAAGAATATGATACATCTTACTATTTATTTTGAAATATATTAAAATAATATTTTATTTTATTTTTTAAATTTATTTTTGATATTATTATATGAAACTAATCTAAAAACACTAAAAAATAATTTAAAATAAAAAACATAAATTTAAAATTCATTAAAAAACCGTTTCAATGACAATCACAAACAATACCGAATATAGCCTACCAAAACTGCCGAACATCTCTTAGATATTTATCTCTCTCTCAAAACAAAAAATTGTTTTTTGGACAGAAGTGTGTGGGCTATTACATAAGAAAAGCATGACAAGAAAAGCGTACAAGGCAGTTCCAAACCTCAGACTCTCGCCTCTCCCCCCCTGATCCCCCTCCCCATTTTTTTTCTCTTTATGTTTCCTTGTGGTCCCAACATCCCTCTCCTTGACACGTGTATCCCTGCCCTCATCTTATGATTTCCACGTGTCACCTGATGACTTGCCCTCTCCACTTGGCACTTCTATCAAATGGTGCCTAATCCTTTGCCACCACACCTAATATTAACATTTAAAGAGGCATAGCCTCTGCTCCACTTTTCTGTTGTGTTTCTTGCATCAAGCCATCTATTACTTGTTCAATCTATAGGCTGCTAACTTTCACTGAATTTAGTTCAAAACAACCCTAATCAAGACTTATCAAAACCAAATTAATGGAGAGCACCGATTCATCGTCTGGGTCGCAGCACCCACGGCTGCCACCGGGGTTCAGGTTCCACCCTACTGATGAAGAGCTAGTGGTCCACTACCTTAAAAAGAAGGCTGCATCAGTTCCATTACCTGTTACAATTATAGCTGAGATTGATCTATACAAATTTGATCCATGGGAGCTACCAAGTAAGTCATCAAGATCTTCAGAATATATGGTGCTTGTTCTTGATTAATATATGTATATGCTAATGTTTTGGAATGGGGAATTTTCTGTGTGCAGGTAAGGCTACGTTCGGAGAGCAAGAGTGGTATTTTTTCAGTCCTAGAGACAGGAAATACCCCAACGGTGCTAGGCCTAATAGAGCTGCACCTTCAGGGTATTGGAAAGCTACTGGAACTGATAAGCCTATATTAACATCTAATGGAGCTCAAAAGGTTGGTGTCAAAAAGGCCCTGGTTTTTTATGGTGGTAAGCCACCAAAAGGGATTAAAACCAATTGGATTATGCATGAATATCGCCTTATCAATAACAATCCTAGCTCAAAACCTCCTGGTGATTCTGCCAACAAGAAAGGCGGCTCTTTAAGGGTATGTTCATCATCTTTTAATTAGGTACTTTCATGTTATGATCACTGAAAAATTGTTCCATTAATGATGTGTATTATCTATTATTTTTGTTTGTTGTTTATAGCTTGATGACTGGGTTCTATGCCGGATTTACAAGAAAAACAACCCCCAAAGGCAGATGGATCAAATGGAGGAGGAGGATTCAATAGAGGGAATGTTTGCTACACTGCCAAGTACTTCTAGCAACAAAAATCCAAAACACCCTTCGGTTTCAAAGCCTGCAGGTTATGCTTCATTACTTGAGAATGAAGATACCTTCTTTGAAGGGATACTAACAGGAGATGGCATGCAAAACAGTTCCATTTCTCAATTACCATCTTCAAGCTTGAGGCCAAATATGTCCATGACCTCAGTCTCTACAAATACTCTTTCGGAAAAACGTTCCCTCCCTTATCATCAGTATTGGAATGAAACTACAGGATTACCAATGGGGCTGGCTACTTCATCAGCAAAGCGTTTTCATGGTGATCTTAATAGTGGCATTACTGGCACTCAAGAGGATAACAACTCCTTTGTTTCTTTGCTTAACCAGTTTCCACAGAGCACACCATTGGTTCACCCAAGCACTCTTCATGGTTCTCTGGGCGATGGTGTTTTGAGACAAACCTTTCAACTTTCTAGCTTGAATTGGAACTCATAATTTCATCAAGAGTTAATGGGCTTGACTATGCATACATATTATGCACATGTGCATGTGCAAATTAAGGTAATTTGAATGAAGATAGAGGAGGTCGAGTTGTGATTACACGAGAAAGTTCAGGAAAATCTACAAGAACAATTTCTTCAACTATTTAGGCCAAATGGACTCATGAGAAGACTTTTGAGCTTCTTTGATTAGCAACCATAACATCTAGGATTTAGTTCACAGAGGTTGTTGTGTCAATTTTAGCGTATTATGCCATACTTCGTTGTCATTCTCAAGATCATCAACATTTCCAAAAAATTGTCTTTATTTAACTAGAAATTAAATAAATGGTAATGAATCTAAACGTTCATGAAATCCCTTATTGTGTAATTGATTTCATCTTTGTTTTGAAAAGAATAAGACAACATGGCTCTCATAAGACAAGTGTTAAGTGTTAAAGAATCTAAGGTAGGAAATCTGGAAAAAAAGAAAAAAGAAAAAAGGAGAGTGGCTTGTGTTCTTATTAATAGTACGTCGTGGTAATTACTAAATAACAACCTTGCAAAAAAGATGGTAAAAGCCATATGCTGTGTTGATTAATTCTAGGAGAACGAATCCGGTACCTGATTTGTTGTTTCCATCAACAATACATATCGATCCTTTCCCTTTTGACTTTTTGGCCTTCACATGCTCAAATGCATAATTCATGTAAATGTAGCCTTTTAAAGCTTTTTATGTCTCCTAGTTTCTTGCTTTTCTAAAGTTCAGAGTACCTACAGCGAGTAACTTTATGTAGCTTTAGCAGCATTAACATACATATAATAAATTTATTCATTTTTCTTATTAAATTAAAATCACTGTTTTTACAGAATTCGGAACAGTCATATCTCTTTGAATATTGGATGCTTAGGTTGATATAATTTCAGTCACACAATCAAAACAGTCTTTCATAATCCATAGAAAATAACTAGATATTGCATGTGTTACATTGCAAGTCGCATCAGTTTTACAAAATATATATATAAACATTGTTAATAAGCTTTTTTAATTAAAAAATAAATCATAAACTCAAAATTCAATGTATAATAAACAACATATCTTTAGTATTAAAAATACGAAGATAGCGACATATTAAATAATATATTATAATAAAACAAAAATTAAATAGAGTTTAATAGATAACATCTAAATTATATTTTTAATTCATACAGGAATTAAGAAAGGACAAATGATAAAACTTTGGAGGGCATCAAAAAATATTATTTCTTAAAAATAAAAAATTATTTGAATTAACTCAAGTTAAATTGCCATGTAACCTAGTGCAGGAGAATAGGATAACCTTATGGAAAGTAATATAAAAAAAAAATCTAAAACTCAATTATTAACCAATCCAATATTAAAAGATAAGATGAAAAAAAATCAATTTAAAAAAGAATAACAAAACCGAACTGAGTCAACCCAAATAAATATGCTAAACTTGTGACTCATGTTGTGAGATTGAAATAACCCTATAGGAAGTATATTGAAAAAAATTATAAAGCTAAAATCTCAATAAACTCAACGTAAAAGGATAAAATAAAAAAAATTAATTAATAAAAAAATCCTAAAATAACTCATCAAACTTGGGTGCTCCTATCAACTCTCACAATCCTAGTCATGCGAATAAGATAAAGTAATAGAAAGCAAAAGAAAAATAATTATGAAGTTCAATTTTTAAATTAATCTTATATTGAATGATGAAATTGAAAAAACTTAATTTAAAAAAAACTAGAGTCAACCGAGGTTCACCCGATGAACTAATGATTTATGTCATAAGATCGGGATAAACCTATAGAAAAAAAAAATTCAATTCCAAATCATCCTAATATTAAATAATAAAATTAAAAAAATATTTAATTTAAAAAAAATATAAAAAATAAATTGAAGTTAACTCAAGTTCACCTTCCAAACCTGTGATCTGGAATATAAAAATAGGATTATATCGTAGAAGACAAATAATAAAAAATCATGAAGCTCAATTTCTTGTAAGCTCAATATTAAAAAATAAAATTAAAAAAATCATTCAGAAAAAAATAAAAAAACAGAATAAATAGACATAAAAATAGTGTGGATCAAATTTAATCTAAAAACAAAAAAGTAGGGCTCCTCGTAAATTTTTTATAGATCAACATGAAATTTGTTGAGGGTATAGAGAAAAGAATAGGAGAAGAACAAAGAGAAGAACGCTAGAGCCTCACCAGAGATGCGCCACCTCCCTTAAAACCCCTCGCCAAGACTTTCCAACCCCACCAAGGATGGCGGTGCTTTAACATTTGAGGAAGTCGCAGGTGTAGCCAAAGAGCAACGATTTCCCTCACATGCTAGCATGCGACATGCATTCCCCCACAACCTGTCCAATCTCGTCCTTGTTTTTTATTTTGGTTTCAAGAATTGATCAACCAATGAAAAGGGTTGAACCTTTTTTCTTCCTGTGCAATTCAATCCTTGATTCAAGCAGGAAAACGATGTTGAATATTTGTTTATTGTTCAAATTCAGTCCATAACTTTAATTATTTTAAATCAATTAAATTAAATTAATTTTTTCCAAACTAAGCATCAATGGAGCTATTAATTTTTTTCTCAGCACCATGAGATTCCTTAACCTATACATCCAGAACAAACCACCAAGTGCAATCCCAAATGAATTTAAAGGTCAAAGGAACAAATCAAAAAAAATTGAGGGACTAAAATGAAAAAAACCAAATGACCCAAAAAAGAAGAGAAACATTATAGAAATATATCATAAGCATATGACAAATATATCACTTGTTTAATTTTTTTATATTAAAATTACTGTTTTTACATAATTCGGAAAAGCCATCATTTGTCTTTGAATATTGGGTGATGAGGTTGAAATATCGACATAACTAATATAATTTCAATCAGACAATGGGAACAGCTAGCCTTTGACATCGAATAGAAAGTAATTTTTTCTTTTTTAAAAAAAGGAAATCGTTTCATTGAATCTTAAAGAAAATGACACCATTAGTTTGATTGCATAAACAGGAGGACTGGCAGAGCAGCCATCACTGTCCACCTTTTAAATCGTGAAAAAAAACACTAAACAAAACTAATATGATACTGATATTTTATGGACCTTGCATACGAAATAATCATCTGGGGCAATATTTTCCACTAATGACACCTGATTATTTCATGTCGTAATCATCTGCTCATTTCAATATTAATCATGGGATTCAAATGTCATCATGGTGAAGATGATGGAAATTATTACAAAATGAAATTCTGTGGAATGTATGCTCTCTATTGTCCCGTTGTGACGACGTTGGCTCACTGCTACACCTAGTTGTCGCATTTAAGGATTGTTTTTCAAATCAAAGCCTGTCGCGTCGACCGATAATTGAGACGAAGCACCAAGGTTTCAAATCTGTTATAGCATTTAGAGCTTATTCACGCCTTTAATTTCCTTTCTTATGGAAAAATAAATCAAGTGTTTCTGTTAAAAATAAAGCCAAGATGATTTGGGATAACTCATTAATTAATTTTAATCGACTTCATGGTAGAAAATCCCTTTTGACTGTAAATCTTAGGATCATAAACAGTTGGGGTTCTCACTTATCAACATGATCTGTCTAGACATGACAAGACCTTACATTGAAAGGATATTTTGTAACCAATCTACGTATTATGACTAGAAGAAAAGGTAGCCATCTCAGAAACTAATGGTGTGTCTAGGGATTGATTTGGGAACCATTATCCCACCGACAATGGGCGAATCACATCTTGATAAAGCATATTAATTAAGCCCGCTAATCAGTTTCTCTTTTGGGTGAAGAGAACAAAATAACTTTCCGAGGATGCCTCTCAATAGTGCTTCTATTGGAATTTGGAAATTGATAATAAGACAAATTGAATCAATTCGTAATATTCCATTGTTTTTTTAAGTGATTTTTATTTAAAATTTATTAAAATAATATATTTTTTAAAATTTGTATTCCAATTAGTTTATTAAACTAATATTCCAATTAGTTTTAAAATTTTGATTATGGAATATTGTATTGCTTATTTTACTAAAAAAAAAAATGGGAAGTTGTGAAGTCCCGTGTGAAGGGACGAGCATTGTGATTGTTAATTGAATATATATATATATAGTGTGTGTGTGTGTGAAAAGATAAAAGTGCCTATAAAAATCAGTTTTAGATCTTTTATTTATTTTAATAGTTGATTATTTTACTTTGCTTTCAAAATAAAATAAAATAAAAAGTAATTCATAAAGATGAGAATGGATCTTAGGTTTTCTTGGATGGAATCTAAACTAAACTATCAAAAGGCTTAAATCTTAGATTGCAAGTGATGATGAGTGTTAGGATTATCAATCCCATATGAAATAAATAGACAATAGATAAATAATATATAAAGTTGAGAATAGACCGTCCACCACAAGACTTACGTTTTTTGGTTAATATTTAAAATTAATTATCAAATTTAATACAGTAGTGGAGCCATTTAGGTTCAATGAACTAATGAAGATTCTACAGTCTAATACATGAAAAACCTAAAAAAAAAATTGTTAATTAGAAAAGGAGTTAAAATTACCAATCATACATGGAACAAATAAAATTAATTTATAAAATTGAAAATAAACCGTACACCACAAGACTTTTCTTTTTTGATAAATCCAAATTCAATAACTTATTAATTAATTAATTATAGTATTTTTAGAACAACTTACATACATTAATCTTAAATACTAATAGAAGCAATTGTTTGGATTTGACACCTTAATCACATAGATTATAGAAGTTTAATTTTATAATGAGTAATGATTCGTGAGAAATGAATTATTTTCGTTGTCTCTATTCATGATGTTTTCTTAAAAATAATTCTTTAAACAAACCAGTTCTCTTCACAATAATCAGGGATTTTCAAGGGAAATGGTATTGTCATTCAAAAGTGATGAACAATTACGAATCCAATAATGCACTCGTGTGAGTGGTGTTGGTACGTGCGTAACACATTCGGGTTGACAGGTAATTGTCAGTCACTATAGCACCCCTTCATTTATAAAAGAATTTCATGCATATTTTGGATGGAAAATTAAGCAAACATTTTATAAAGAATGGATTATAATTACATTTTGTGAGTTTATGGAGTGGTAGCTTGAGGTTTGGTTTAAGGTAATTCCATGTAGGATTTTAGTAATCCAAGCCCAAAAGCTGCCTCTATGGGTGTGGGCTCGCGTATAATAGGTTTCCTTAGACTCTCTTGCCTTTCCTTAGGGTGCAATATATTATTTCTTCACGTACATTAATTAAAAGAATGTTTATAGAATATAATAAATCCAATAATTAATAAAAAA